CAACCAAGCAGAGGCTCTTCGATCTATTGTAACTAAAAAGGCGGAAATTCGGATGAAAGATGGATGGGTAGAACAAACCAGTTTATAACACTGAATCCTCACAAACTGCCTAGCCCAGGTCGGGTATGAAAGCGAAGTGTTTTTCCGAGGTGTGTGTTGCTCGTCTCTTTTACCAACCCACTGTATACTAAACACCAGAATCGAACAACCATATAGACCGACTGTTCGGTTAGGTGAATGAGCGACCTGAGCCCCGGACCTAGGGGTAGCAAACCTCTACAGAATACGCGCGATACTGAACTGCCGGGTACTTCAAACTACCACCTACCACNAATCGAGTGGTGGACTAGGTTCGAAACTCGGACATTAGAACCTATAAGTGAGAGTGATTTAAGTCGGACTACGTTGGATGAAATGACGAGAATTCGGCAGAATTGTCTGCTTCAACAAACGCCCAGAACTGATCACTGTTCACTATCTAATTCCGATTCAATCTTTGCGGTTCCTGTAGTCTAGCAATAAGGATAGCTACGGGGCCTGGAGATGGACTGTCTACGGATAGCACAGCTGAGTGCTACCGAGTGCGTCTCCAGGTCGCGGATAGAACGGCCTCCTCGGTGGTTAACTGGGAATAGGTGGGGTTGCCTCACTGAATAATCGGTCACGGACGCTCAGCAGCGATGCTGTAGAGGACGTGGTGCGGTTTCCGGCTGACAACCGATATCCCTTTTAAATGCCATAATTGTCTGCTGACAGCATCACAACGTGTGCGAACAAGGCCATTGCTACTTGCCTACCCTTACGAGTTGGACAAACTCTGAGCAATGCTACCGGCCCTCACACCTCACGGACACGTTGGGATCTTGGAGTGGCGCTGAGTCAACCGAAAGTGGTATGAACCGTCCTGATGGTCACCGGTTACCAACAAGTCCACTCGGTTACCCTGCAGGTCGCACTTGTTTGTGCAAGGGTTAGAGGTGCATCCTCGAACAAAAGCCAAGCGGTGCAGGGACGGCACTTAGTACCTCATTCCCAAGTTTCTTCATGGATTGTCTTAAAATGGTTCATCGCGTTCATGCTACGTTCATTCTATGGCAGCCATTGACGGTGATCGGTACAAATAGGATGAAGAAACCCAAGGGCGAGTTTTCATCGCCCGATTAACAACCAATTGGTAATTTGCAAAAGAAGATACAGAGAGAGAGAGAGAGACTCACCTTCATGAAGATACGATCAACAAAACGACTGTGTCGAAAATCCCGTGACAAAGTGATTGCCATGTTCAAGATATTCCAAAACTGGTTGTACTGCCCATACTGGAAGAAGGGAGGGAATGTGTTCCCGTGCGTGACTGTATAGGCAAACACTGTGAAACCGTTAAGGGCATACAAATTAATCTACTCTCTTTCCCACCCCGAAAGCCCACATATTCATCAAAATCTGGTCTCTTTTTCAATAACTATAAGGTGTGCGCAGTAAAAAGGCTAAACCCCATGAACTGAGGATATATCGAGCACGGAATGGTGCAGAAAATGGATGAACTGGAGCGTGATTATGGATTCTGAAGTTGGAGGCGATGATGATGTGTATATTGACAAATATGACAAAGAAATCGGATTATCAAAATAAAGACCCGGAAGTCACAGGTTCGAACCGCTCCACCACTGTCCATTCTCCCCATTCCTGTAGATTCCCAGGCAATCTTTGTATGGTTGTGACCTTCGCGGTAAAGTTGACCGTACCTTCGTATATTCAATAAATAAAAAAGCTCCACATTTTTTTTATTACGCACGAAGTGAGTTACAGTAAAAGGAGCAAATCCCATTATCAAAGGGTATACTGTAAGGAGGAGGTATGTGGGGGAACATTCAAGTAAGAATCCATTTGTTATTCCTGCTTTTGAAAAGGATAAGATTATAAGAGTTGGGAAACACGGAAATGGGAAGTGTTACACAATTTAGCAGTCCTTGGGAAAAAGAAGATCAAAAGACAGAAATCCGACATCTGGGGACAGAAACCTGATAAGGGTGACTACCCGTCTGAGAACGAGATGGACGAGAAAAGGTCAATAGAAGGGGAATCGCTGAAGTGAGTTCGAAAGAGCAGAAACCAAAATAGTAACGATAGAAAAGAGATAACGAGGCAACTGCCCGGCGATAGGAAAGCGACTGCAGGTTGGAAGTTAAAGATGGCTCGTCGATCAGCCGGATGGCCTTACGCTGAACACGGTCAAGAAGAGAAAGAGCCGAATACGAAGCTCCATCCCATACATGACTGCAGTATTCAAGCACTGGGTGAATTTGAGCTTTGTATAAAAGGTGCTTCGGTGTAATGAAACGCTTTGCGTGAAATAGAAAACCAACTTTGCGCGCAGTGCGAGGCAAATGTAGAAATGAAAGGGGTACCAACAGAGAGAATTTATGGAACGAAGGGGCAGAGAATAAAAAATCAATTGAGGGGAATAGGAGACACGTTTAAGAGAAACTGAGAGGAGAGGAGTTTTGGAAGTATTGAAACACATGGTTGGTAGAACCCCATGCGGATATTAGTTTGAGATCGGAGGCAAGAGAAGCACTAATGACATTACGATCGTGATCGATGTTGGTATTATCTTGACGGATTGTGGAGTAAGAAAGAGAACAATGGATAGTGGCATCATCGGCAAAGTAGTGGATGGGATTAGATGTTTGGGATAAAAGATTGTTGATAAATAAAAGAAAGAGGGTGGGCAAAAGTATGGCACCTTGAGGAAAACCGGCGTTCAAAGGAAATGGCCCAGATAAGACCCTCTACTCGAACGGAGACGGTTCACTTGCTGAGGAAACAACGAAGCCACGATAACAGAGACGGGTGGAATTCGAACGTGGGTAATTTCGACAG